AACAGTCAATCTGATTATCGAATGTTATAAAATTTGCTAAAATAAATGAACTTTTCACATGTCGAGATGACATGGCCAAGCCAAACACCTCTGAACCAATTCTACACTGACCGAATTTATTTATTGTAACATGACTAAGTATGATTAAATCTTCAGGTTCATCATCGAATGGTGCCTTGAAATTGTGTGTTTCATATGTTGCCATGTAGTATTCGACTATTAAATCAAGCATTAACTTAGACAATATCACATCGAATTTAGGACTTAACATTTCTCTAGAAAATGTTTTGCATCCAGTAATAATTGATTCCTGTATGTTTTTCGAATTAGACCAAAATTGCTCCATTTTATCAGATGAATATTCGTCATCTTCTAATAATGAACCAACAACAGTTTGATTATCAAGCAAATCTAACCCTTTTGTTCAAATATCTACTGAACTACTTATTTCTCTAATACGATTATTATTCATTAATCTACACATTATTTCTGACTCAATTTGTCTATGACTACTCAGTAACGAACCTAAATATTATTAATATATTTCATTATTTACTAGCATATTTTGTTATATAAATCGGCAAAAATAAAAAGAAGCTATAATTACCGAGTATTCCATTCATACATTCAAATGAGAAACACCAGAAAGTGTATAAAAGGCTAAAATCATATGAGCATTCTCATAAATGAAGCGAAAGGTAGAGATTTAGTATTATTTTATCACGCCCGTAATGCTTTTCAATAAGTTTTATTATTTTAATCAATCTTTCATAAGCTTCTTGTACTGAATTGAGTTCCCGAATTCAACCTATCAGAATCGAACAAACTCTAACAAAATGTGTTAGAATCGTTCAATCGATTACTAATAGATGTTCCCAAAAAGATGTAGTTGTATAAATTATATAAAATGTTCACCATTGGTTTGCTGTGAAGTTAGAAAAACCTTTTCTGCAGTTGATTTTTTGAGAGATTCTACCCAAATTGGCAGAAACTTGAATCTAATTCATATTCTTTGGATACTTTTAAGAGCATCTGAAGTTAAAACCTTCTCATCAATCCAAATTTGTTTAACTATCCATTTCGCTATGCCTAAAAACTAAAAATAGACAATGCATTGAGTCGACCGTTAAAAAATAAATTAGGTCAAAGTATGGTAAATGAAGTAACTCAGATCATCTAACGCTAATATGCTTTACTCATCGCTTTCTGTCAGCATCTGAATTGCACCTTCACCACCTAAATGCATCCTCTCAATATTGTGACGAATCCCGGGAAGTAAACCATTTGTTCATGCTAATCATTCCAGCAAAATTATGTTGCTGATTTTCATAATTTGCCTTTTTTTCGCACCTATGACATGACACTAATGCCGAAATATGACTGCAAATTTTTCTTGCTGTGGGAATATCGCATGAAACAAGGATTAATGCTGCATGAATTCTCCTTCTTTTATGACATTCATATGTTCGATTTAGAGTCACACTATTCCAAAATAACTCTAATTCGTCAACAATTAGTGCTAAATAATGATTTATTTTGTGTAAACTCGCTTTATTCAGACTGGGCATAATTCCAAGAATTAGTAAATTTTCATGCTTGAATCAAATGTCTTTTGAAAGATTACAAATTGTGGCATATAATACTCCAGTGCTATAGATTGTTCCGTCAAATAGTTGAAACTAATCCAAATTCAACATTAAGCCTAGATGTGAATCAGCTACATCAGGATTGAACCATTTTCTTTAAATATTTTCCAACTTGTCCATCATATATATCAGTCAATATGTTACTGAAACTTGTTCTATTAGCCCAATGTCATAGATAATTTTCGAACCCTTGTCAACGAAACATAACACTGAGTTGTTATCCAATGCTAGCAAATGGATAAATTAATTTTGGTTGAAAAAAATTTGAATTATCCGTTTTACGAAACAATAGTGTATTATAAGGCCGTAACCTGCAAATTAATGAATTCGGGAATTTGACGTGATTACATGTCATAATCAATAAAGTATCATTCTGTCAAAAGTTCATTACTTCATCTCTGTTGTAAAGTTTATAACATTTCATATAAAATACGAAACTATGAAATCGGTCTCTGAGGCCAAGCGATTTCTTTGCTAAATAAAGAGTACTTGGAAATCTGTTAAACTTATCACTACTGATTTCAGTTAGAACTAATTTCATAAATTTTATAAGAGACTCAGTTGCAGTTTCTAGTATGTTGAACCTAATTCAAAAGTTCATTATCCATAATAAAATCCATGTAAATTGATTATCGATCGTTAATGACTCTTCTTCATCTTGATATAGTTTATATTTTGGCGAAGAATAATCTTCAAAAGTTTCAGAAATAAGTAAATCATCAGAAACACTTTCGTTTTCACTCATAAAAGATTCAATATGTCATCTTTCATTATGTTCACTATTCTCGCTTAAAGAAGACTCAGTATGTTGCTCATTCTCAGAGTCACTCAAATCGTCAGTAACTTGCGGATGATTTTTATACCTTTTTGTACGCTTTCGAGATAAATTTGATAATTTCAGATAATGATTAGTCATTTCGTTTCTTAAAACTCGTGAATTATCATTAATCATTTCGCTTCTCGAATCTTGTGATTCGATTTCGGCAAATGATCTAGTATCAAGTATCAATTCATCAAAATTTGGATATAATTGTTTGATGGCGGAATCATCACAAATTGATGATGAGTCACTTGAACCACCACAAATCATTAATGAACCACTTGCTGATTCATGAAAAAGTTTGGTCTGATTTAAAACTAATTTTCCATTACACTTATTACAATAACAA